GTACTGAACAGTTATTTCACCAACATATCAGCCAAGTATCTGTTAATTTTAGAGTAAGCAAAAAAATCATTTGGGCCTTGTGATATTTCACTGGTAGAGGGATGAACTGATTCAATTATATTCCAGCAGATTTTGGGAGCAGCCTGTTTCAAACAAAGCTGAAGATTAGACAACTGGACAAAGATCTTAATTAAACCTCATGAGGTTTTGCCATGATGTCTACAGACCTCTGTGGCCTAATCACAGAAAACCTGTGGACAGACCTCAGCGGGGAGTGTATGCAACAACATTTGCAGGACAAATAGCTGGAAAACTCCAAACAAGAAAGACTCTCTGCTGCAGATACCTTCAGCACATGTCATATCTCCCATTCTTAAGTCCTCACGAAACTTTGCATTGAAGTAATTCATTTCTTAATTTATACCTTTTGGAAATCAGCCCATTTTCACTCACTCACAGTAACAAAGAGCTTTTAAGGAGCTCACCTGCTCTTTAAGGAGCATGATTCCTCCGCTGGACTGGATGGAGCAGATCTCCCTGTGTTTGTTCATGGCGATTACCAACAGGCCATCCATCACTCGCTCCTCCCGCTCACACGGGTCCACCAGCAGGTAAGTGCTGCAGAGAAACAACGAGGAAGGTTAATGTTCAAACAAGTGGTCACCTGCAGGTACTCAGAAGGTCAGCAGAAAATAAGTGGACTGTTTTAAGAAAACAGCCCGAGATCAGTTAAGTTACTCCCCTGATCGCCTGCATGTTACTGCAGTTAAATGCTGAGGCTGGATCAGGTGACCCTGAACACTCACTCAGTTGTGCCGCTAAAGTCAAATTTATATTCACTCTCACTGGCAAATTAATTAGGTACACCTCGCTAGTATCAGGTTGAGATGATCTGAGTTTTATCATGTGTGCACTGATCATAAAGATGGTGAGCAACAACCCTCAGGCAGGCTGTGGAGTTGAGACAATGCACATTTGGTCCTGAGGAAGCCAGAGTTTCCCAAAAAAAGGTCCCTCACAATATCACTGATTCATGCTTTCACATCGTTTACCCCAAATTCAGGCGCTATCATGCAAATGTCACAGCAGAAATCAAGGTGCTATCAGACCAGGTGATGTTATTGCATGTGGGAAAAGAAGATCAGCAGTTTCTGAAATACCCTGGCCCGTGTAACACCAGCAACCACGGCACTGTCTTCATGCCTCAATGCGCTGAGCTTCCCCTTACTCCCCAGCTGGTTGTAGCAGGCTGATGAGGGCTGCCCCTCCACGAGTTTTGTTCTGGTGGAGGTCTGAAGTGACTCTCTATAAACACTACTGAATATACTGAGTTAACTAAAACCTGCTGCACCTGTAAACATGACATTAACATTTTGATACAGAGGAGAAGAAATCTTGTGAGAAGCAGTGTTTTACCCTTGTTGGAAGAAGGCGAAGCTGACGCTGATGGGCATGTGGTAGATACTCAGAGGAATGGGGTCTCTCTCCTCTGGACTGTACTGAAGACAGAAATTTAAAAAATAAATTACAGGTAACATAAAGCAGAATTCTCATGAAAACAATAACATCATCAATTTTCTCCCAGCAGGTCCAGGGAAGCTCAGACACCACCTGCTGTGCTGCTGCTGACTCACCACTGTGACTTCCTGTCCCTGGGTGCTGACGTCAGGGCGCCTGAAGTGGCACAGAGCGGTGATGGCGGCGATGCTGGCGGCATCCATCAGGTTTCCATCATTATTCAGTGTGTGAACATCCACCCTGATCTGCCACACCTAGAAACCCGCAAGCGGGCACCACCACCATTATCATCATCATCATCATCAATAGATAAAGCTTCTTTCTGTCTGTCTTGTGTGTGTGTGTGTCTGTGTGTGTGTATATATTACCTTTTCTCCAGACACCACACACAGAGACTCCGTATCGATGCACTTGGAGTTCCTCAGGCATCTCTCCAGCTGTCTGTTTAGCTTCACTGACAGCTCAGACTGTCTGGAAACACAGAAAACCCCACAGATGATTTCCACTCTCTGCACCAGCAGTCTGTCTAAACGAACCAGACAGCCTCAGGGGACGACCACTACTCGGAAACTTGTAATTAACAATAACTGCACAGGTCATCTATAATTCACCAGCTATCATTCTCCAAACACAGAGGTCCTCTTACATATTATTTCCATGTAAACAGAATTGTTGGTAAGCTAAGCTACAGTAGATCAAGCCTTAATTACCTCACTTCGAAGCCAGGAGCAGGAGACACATAGATCAGATGCCCAAGCCACCTCAGCTAGTTCCTTACACTATGAAGGAGTAGCAGCTGTACTCTGTGCGCCTCCTGAAAGAACGAGCTCCACACCCCGGCTCTATGACTGAGCACAGGCTGCCTTTGGAGGAGCTCGTGTCTGTCGCTGGCATCCACAGTCTCAGTCACTAACCACAGCTCGTGGTGGCATAGATGGACAGCTGTTGTTTCATGGTAACCTTTCTCCTCACCAAAACAAAAGTGCCACGACTCCTTTTATCAGTCTCCCACTGCATACATCCCCAACCCAGTCGGTACTCCACCCTCATCCAACTGGGAACCACGGCCTCAGAACATGGAAGCTTATTATGGATGCTTTCCAGTCACCAGATCTAATTAAATTCAGGAACAATGTCCCTACACTTCATAGAACCCGAGCTTATTTCTTTAGATTCCAGCGAACATAAATGAATGAGCTGAATTCAAAGAGTGAGGTTCGTCCTCACCTTCCCTGCTCAAATCCCGGTGAGGCCATCGGGGACAGCTCGATGTTGAAGAACATGATTCCTTCATTCGGTCGGCTTTCTTTAGGAGCCACCAGCTCGCACGACACCTGCGCCATGACCCTGCGGGGAGCCGTACAGTGAATACAGAGCTCAGTGTACACAGATGCTCAGTTTGACACACGATTGCAAACATGTGGCTGCAGCTTCACCTGGTTTGTCCCAGATCCACAAAGCAGCACCCATAGTCAGTCCCAAAGCTGATCTTGATCTTCCTGTAGTCATAGGTCTGCCGTCCATCCAGGCGCTGAAGGAAGAGAACAGAAACAGGACACATGGGTGCGGATGAAAGTCTGTAGGTGTGCTATGGTAAGGCATTATAATACACATCAATCCTCACTAAAACAGAGCAACGATGCCAGGATAGGACACTGATATATGTATTTCATGTTAAATCCTCAGGCTGCGCGCGCGCGCACACACACACACATAACAGCGCGTGCTGATTATCGCACCCACCTTTTTCTCTTCGATGGCTTTAAGCAGGAAGTCCCGCTCGCAGTTGGACAACGGTGTGTCCTTCATTCTGTTTTTGTTATAATATACTGATCTGATTCACCGCTCCAAAAAGCATGTGGCCGCCATCGATGTTTTTTTAACTTTAACCCGGAAGTGCAGAAGACACGTGAACGTAAAAGCGGCTAGATGATATATTTTTTCAACAATTGGCGTATCTAAAATTATTAATATCAAGTATTTTATTAAACTCGTTTAAATTCATTTAGAATCTGTATTTGTGTCGTATTTCGTTATTTTGATATGTTGGGCGTAGAATTTATTGATAAGGGTCTTTTATTTTGAAATCCAGCGCGGTGTGATGGTTTGATGCCTTTAGTGACATATTAAAAGCTTGTCCTTTATAGCTCTCAGTAGCTGCTTTTTATTGTTTTGGAGGAATTTGGAAATTTTGGAAAACACATCACAAAGCAATAAAAAAAAATGGGCAAAATGTACTTAGTATGAGAATATTCCATTCTTTAAATGTTGTTTTATGTTATGCATGAAAAATAATAATAAAATTCATGTTTTGTCACTCAGTTACACTGAAATATATTTGATAGAAAGGTTTCACTCAAAGAAGGTAAAATTGTCAGTCCTTTGTAGGCTTTTGTGAATGGAATTAAGCTCAATATTAGTAGATTTGCGGCCTCACAAACTAGAAATAAATGTTAATATTATGTGTAATAATATATGAGTATATGCTGCAAGCTTTCATATATCTCCTTCAAATTGTCTTTTCAGCACAGCAGACCACCTGTTTTCATCTCATCTTGTCCGTAGCATCCACCTCTGACACACCAACCCTCTACATGTCTGCCTTCACTACATCCATGAACCTCCTCTGTGAGAGTCCTCTTTTCCTCATGCCTGGCAGCTCCATCTTCAAGCCCTCCTCTGCACAAGTCCAAACTATCCCAGCCTGCCTCTTTAGCTTTGTCTGTAACCTGCTCCAAAACTGACTTCTTCCTCTGATGTACTCATTTCTAATCTTGTCCATCCTGGAGGCTCACAATGAAAATTTTAGCATGTTTAACTCCACCTCCAGCTCGGCTTCCTGTCTTTTTATCAGGACCACCTTCACAGCAGGTCTCATACCATCACGAAAGCCTTCACTTTCATTCTTGCTACTGTCTTTCTACCACAAATCATCACTAACACGTGTCTAAATCCCCTCTACCTGCACTTTCTTCTTCATGTGTTGCTTTGGATGGTTGACTCCAAGAATCAAAATACTTTATTCATTTAGGAGGAAATTATGTTATATGTCATATTTAAAATAATCTACCTTCACTAGCTTTGGTTTCTTCTGTCTTCACCATTAGGTCTGCCTCCCTGTTCTAGTCTTGGTTTTTCCGATTTTCATTCTTCTTCACTCCAGAGAATACCTCCACCCTTTCAGACGCTCTTCTAACTCCTCCCTACTCTCAGATCACAGGTTATGTATTTTTCTCTAAATAATGTCATTAAGCTTTTTCATTTGTGTAATTTGTAAGCTATTTTTATTTATATATGTATTCATTTACTTTTTTTTAAAAAATATTCAAGATTCAAGATTCGTTTAGTTATTAATGCTGAGTGTTCCTTTTCAGTCATTTCATACTTATGAATACCGCTATGCTCTTAATTTCTGCGGTGCCTGAATGCACCCTTTACGCTTCCAACCACCCCTGGTGCGCATGCTCAGTCGCAAAGGAACCTGTTCTCAGCGGCGCACCGTTATCCGGGCCGAGCTGTCATCCACGGTCCATCTCCTCCAGCAGATAACCGTGCTCTCCTCGACTGTATCCCAGTAGTATTCAGCGGGCTCACCCCACATAACTATTCCCGTGTTTTTGCGTGGAGAAACAGTTTTCATCGACGGAGTTTTTTTTCTTTTCTCCGTGATATCCAGAAGGCGCAAAGGTTTGTTTGCGCTCATTCAATCTCTCTCCATCCTCCCTGTGCGACATCACTGCTAATGTAGCCAGCTAACCGTTGCTGTTCATTCATTTCTGCAACCGAAGAATGCGATATTCGGCGGCCTTTTGTTTTCAAATTAATCATTAACATCTTCTAATTTAAACACCAGTGTGTGTTGAATTAGCGGGCTGGTACGAGCCCGTTAGTTTATTTCTGGCTGAGCTTATCTTGTGCTAACGTTTGCCGTTTGTGACTGGCGCGCTAACATCAGCTAGCCGAGCAGCTCCTGCAGCCAGAGCTGCTCTCTGAAAGAGCCTGGACGTTGCTGTGTTTGGTGGCAGCCATGTTAGCGCCTCTGACCTTTATTTTTTTGGGTTTTTTTATTCCTATTGTGTAAACGTGTGTTATGATAATGGTTATAAATGGAAAAATGTCACAATGGCGCTGTTTAGAGTCAACCAGATGCTGATAAGGCATGTAGCCTCTGCACACTTCAGCAGGAGGACTGAAGCTTGACTGTGGGGTAAAGATAATGACAGCTGTTGAGTACTAGATTATGTCCACTAATAAATCTGTTTGCTAAAGGGGGAGTTACCTGCATAACTGATAGACTGACACCAGGTAAGATATGGTAGATGTGTCCTTGCAGGGTATTAGCATGGCAGGCCAAGTTGAGACACCTGAAACCTAAAACCCCAAACCATAGACAGAATAAAAGATGGGTGTAGCTCCTTGGTTTGAAAAGGGAAGCCAGTGGGAAAGTGACTTACCTAGTGGTGCTCCAATCCAAATTTTTCCAGTTCCAAGATAAATAACTAGACCTCACATGTCTGCAGATAGGGTTTGATCTAATTGAGCGTTGATCTAATGCCAGTATTTGATTATGCTGTATTTCTCATTGTGTGAAGGAAACTAGGGATCATTCTCTCGGTGCTAAGGCAACATCAAGCTCAACTTAACTCTGATATACTGACTTTTTTAAAATAAACTTAGGCTCATTCTTACAAGATTTTATAATTTGCTAATAAAAGCTGATAATTTAGTTTAGAAATTGACTCCTTTTATTTCAATGAGAAGAATAATGCATGACATCAGGCGCAACACAAACAATATATATATTTTTTAAAATGTATTGATAGGGGTAGTTTTCCATTTTCCTTTCTGTCTGAGACCTTTTACTGTTCAACTGAAATTATGCATCGAGTGTTTCACAACAAGTCACAACAGTGGAACCAGAGTCCTCCTAGCTTCTACCAAATATAATGTCTGTCTGAACAAATGTACAGAGGTATAGTAAACAAACAAATGAGTCTTTGCTGAGCTTTTTGATCCTGGTACCACAGTTTCTAGTTGAATAAAAAATATATTCAAACATGTGAAGAAAATCAGTTGATGTTGAAGGTGTGAAATACCTCCAGACTGCTGAACCTCTCCTGTTAACTTCCCCCAGTCTAAATTAGCTCTTCAGCATAAATACAGGACATAGAACTGGGCTGTTTATGGGCTGTTTGTTGTCCCATCCAGCTTTTCGAGTGAGGATCTGGGCCATATCTTTGGTGCATTCCTATTCAGTTTAATTATTTTTACCATAAGCCTGATCAGTTGCTCAGGCAGAATAAACTAATTTATTCTGCTATATTTTCAGTTTACTCGTTAACTCAACATTCATTAAACATCACACCTTTAACCAGACTAGTGCACTTCAGCTGTCACAACAGGGGAAGATAAAACCGTGATAAAACAGAATGGTTACACCCCATCAAACTTACCTGATATTTAAATGTTTAGCTCTCTTTCAAACTGAGCTTCGCTTTCAGTCCAGAGATGCAAACACATGAGCAACAGCACAATGCCTTTAAAGATAAGACAGCTTTTTCACTTTGCTGCTCTTTCATCATCTCTCCCTTATGTTCATCACAATCCTTTTGATCCTCCTGCACTCTGTTGTTAGCAAACAGAACAACACCAGTTTGGGAATTAAACTTAATTAGGAATTAAGGGAAAGCATGCCGCTGTGCTGTCTCCAGTGATGCTTTTCATTTCCTGCTGCTCGCAACAAGAGCGAGCGGGTGTGGGCTGATCAATGGGAGGTTATTGAAGCTGAGGTTCAGCATGCTAAATCGACACCGTTTAGATTTCAAATGTGTATTCATACTGTGCATGTGCTGCAAAAAATAAGAAAGATATTAAAAGATGTGTAGTGAAGTAGAGGTGTTGCTCCTAAGGCGTTTCTTCTGGTGGAAAAACACAGCAGAAAATGTGCAGATTTTTTATTTTAAGAGTCATGATCTGAGGATACACGTCCCTGATCTTGTAGGATTGTGTCCTAATGTAACCTCCATGTCTGTAGTTTTTTTTCCCCTCTAACCCTCACCCACTTGTCTCTCCTCTATTTTTATCCCCGACACGACGCACACACTCCCCGTTGTTCTCCATAAATAAAATCCATCTCACTCACACCTGCCTCTTCTTCCCATCCCCCTCCCGCGCCCTTTTTTACTCTGGCTCTAACACGATGCACATCCCTTATCTCACACTTCTGTAACCCTCCTGCTACAGATGAAATTGGAAAAAGGCTGGACGTGGCTCCTGCTGCTGCTTATATCCACCCTGGCTGTGGCAGCTGTGGCGGCCCACGAGAAGCAGTCGGAGGCCGATGTTTCAGACATCGTCGTTGACGACGACGATGATGACATGGGCTTAGATGAGGAGGAGTTAAAGGTCCTGATGGCGGAGGATGAGAGAGAGCAGGTTAAAGAGACGCACAGCAAGAGCACAGCCAGTGAGAAGGACACTGACTCCAATGTCTCCTTCCAGGTCTGGAGCAGAGCAAAAAAATCAGGAAATCTAGTAAAATGATTTGAATCTGAAGATTATTTGATGGCTGCAAAGCCTCTTATTGTATCCTTTATTATATCACCAGGTAACATACAAGACTCCTGTTCCCACTGGAGATGTGTACTTTGCAGAGACATTTGATGATGGTTCACTGGACAGGTATTGTTTAACACACAAACTTCCAAAATGGAGCCCAAACGTATTATATGGTCTCCCACAGAGATTTAGCGGATCAAAGAGTGTGTGTGTTTCATGATGTTGATCTCCACAGATGGCAGCTGTCAAAAACAGTGAAGGAGGACGCGGATGGTGACATCGCCAAATATGACGGTTTGTTGCTTTTCTCTTCCTCCTATTCAAGATGCGTGTGGGTGTTTTCCTCACATCACATATTCTTCATGCATGATTCCATTGTTTGAAAG